CGCCATTTCTCCATTCCCGGATTGCCAGCCCCGGAAGGTACACCAGGAAGGAAGGGTGGCAGCCAGGAATCCCTGGAAGCGTCGCGCCACCGCCCGGCAGCCCAGACTCAACGACCCGCATCGACCTGAGCTCTGGCCGCCGAGTGCCAGGGGTCACAGGCCCCCTCCCCGGCTCACCCGCCGCCTCAGCGCTCCACGTCTTCGGGGGCGGGCCCGAGAGCCGGCGAGTCCCGGAGGCCCGGCGAGCAACTCTAGCGGCTGGAGGCGGGCGGGGGCCTGCCGGGCGGGCGCCGCTGAGCGCTGGGCGTGGCGGGCCCGAGACGCAATCTCGCGCAGGCGGGGCGGGGCCGCGGTGGGATGGGCGGGGCTTGGTGCTGGGGCCTAGCGGTGAGTCACCCCCCCGGCGGAGACCTGGCTGCCCCAGAGAAACGCTAGATGAGCCAAACCCGGCTGTCGCCTGCAATGAGAGCTGAGGCTGCTAAGGAAAAGGGTTGCCTTTGGGGCTGTCACTCCGCGTGGGGGCAGGACCACGGTAGGAGAGGCGGGGCCTCGCAGGGCTGTCCAGCGGGACGGGGGCAGGACCAAAGTGGAGAGGCGGGGCCTCCTAAGACGGCTGTCACTCCAAGAGTCCATCGGCGACCCCTAAAGAAATAGGTCCCTTTCACATTTTCCTCTTTTCCTGTCTCTTAACGCCCAAACTGGGGTTTCCCGGGTGGTTCAGTGGTAAAGACTCCGCCTGTCAATGCAGGAGACGCAGGAGATGCGGGATCGAGCCACCGATTGGGAAGATCCCCTGGCGAAGGAAATGGCAACTTTCTCCAGTATTCTTACCTGTAAAATCCCATGGACGAGAGCAGCCTCGCAGGCTGTGGTCCAAGGGGTCGCAAGGAATCGGACACGACTGAGTGAGCATAGAAGGTCCAGAATCCAACTTTCTTGTCACTTTCAAATATAAGAACAAGTCTCATTTTAGTAGAAATTCACTTTCAGGTAATGAAAAGTCCAAATCCAGTATATTATTAAAACTTCGTATCCAATATAGTCAAATATCTTATCGATTATAGCCTCCTAGCCCCGCCTTCCCCTACCTCGGAGAAAACCTTACTCTCTTTTTTCTCCACCCTAGCTACCTTAGTCTCCCTGCTCTGTCGGGAATTCACCAGACACCCTCTACCACCTTTGCCACCTCCCACCTCGGGATCTGTGCCCTGGGGCTTTGTTCCTTCTGCTTTCAAAGCTCTTTGTTAATTAAGAAGATGATTTATTTCCTTCCTTCCCTCACAGGAATCTGGAATCAAATCCCATCTTCTCACCGAGGCCCTTTCTAACTATTCTTTAATGAACTGTTCTCCAGTCCATCCCACCATCTTACCTTAACATACTTTATTCCTTAGCGCTCATCCCCTTCTAACGCTTTATATTATTTTTTGTCAATCTTTCACTAGGATGTAAGCTTTACAAGGGCAAAGATTGTTCAGTTTTATCCGTGATACATTCCCAGTTAAGGGTCCCAGTAGGCATGCAATAACTCTAAAAAGGAATGAGAGAAAACAGTGAATGAACCCTTTCTCCCGCCGTTCATTCCAGCCAGATGCCTGAAGTCCTACAATGCCAGAGAAGCTGGGTCTGCTTTTCTATCCCCTGATCCTGCCTGGTGTTCTCCAGTTTCAAGACAGGAAAGAGGGAGACCAGGGATAAAGCACAGAAGCCTAGTTACTTGGAAGGGACTGTGTGTTGATCTTTCTAGACTCCTAACGCTCTGTCATAGCAGCTCACAACTTATTGATCAGTTCTCCCATGGCCATCATGGTAGGGGGCCAGAAGTTCTTTCTCTTCTGAAAATCAGGACAAATTGTTTACGAGGTTCAGTAGGTTTAGACATTGATTTCTCAGTGGACTTTTTTTTTTTTCACCTGCACACTTCCTATTTTCTCATTCCTTGAATTTATGGCCATCTCTCCATATAACATCTTCTGATATTTATATGCTGGAAGGACTGGAAAAATAAAAATGGAATGGAAATATTAAAAATGCCTTTCACAAAGACGGTCTCCTTTCATCTCTACAATTAACACATTAAAACTCTAAGTATGACAAATCAGTTGTTGGAAAACACAAATGGTAGACTTCAGTTAATGATATGGACTCCTGTGTCAGTTAGCTGTGGCTGCAGAACAAACCACTACACAGAATTAGGGACTCCCTTCTCCACCACTCTTCTTTGGGGCAGCTCTTTCATAATCTCTGGCACTCAGAACATCCTTTATCTAGTTCTGCTGGCCAGAAAGATGAGCTCCTCTGGAGTTTGCTATCCTTTATATCTGTTGTGCTGTCTGCAGCTGGGGCTGCCCTCAGGGCAAGGTTGAGGGGAAAGAGAAAAACTGACAAGAGATTCTCCCCCTACTTCATACAAGTGTCCCTTTTCCCATCTCCTCTGACCCAGAGGGATAGGTTTTCTATTAGGGTCTAATTATCCATGTCACTGTACTATAGTAATGAAGTACTGTGACTAAGGAAGCTCCAGGACAAAGAAGGGAGAAGAAAAAACAATCATGAATTTTCACCCCTTTCTGCACCTTGTAGCAACCTTTTCATATTTTGTCCAGAGGTTTCAGTAGTAATCAGTGGCAGACATAGGCTGCAATGGAGTTACTCCATTTTGACCAGAACCAGAACTTATCAATAAATGAAAAAATATATTATTTATATTGCTCTTATTATGAATGATAAGACATTTGCATTTCATTTGCTACAAATTATTTATGTTTTCTGTCTACTTTTCTACTGGATATAGAAATACTTCATGTAATCATAAAAATAATTCCTTTCTTAGAAATGAGTGTCAAAACTTGTTCTCAGCTTGACATGTCTTTTGACTTCTCATATGCTATTTTATTTGCTTTGTTTTTTTCCCTTTTTTTTATTTTATTGGTCATGCAGACCTTTCCCATTTCTAATTGGTCAATTTTTACCAAACTTTTGTTTTACTACTTACTAAGTTTAGTTACATTATATTTAGACCTCACCTCTCCTGTATTACTTTGAAAATCCTTCTATGGTTTCTCTTCTTTTTTTTTTTTGGAAGAAGAACTTTTTAATACTTGTATGTACAGAAAGCTCAATAACGTACACTTGACCAAGTTTGGTGGCTAATTCTTTGATCTTTGCCTTCTCTGGCTTGGCAATATGAGCTACTGATTTTGAACCCAGGACATTGCCTCCCCATTGATGGTGGATCTCACCATATCTGTCATTGTAATTGGTCCTGATGACGTCCGCCAGTTTAGCCAGTGTGCCCTTGTCTTCTGAGTTGACTTGCATGAAGGCCACAGTGTGTAAAGGTCTTCCCATGGACCAGACGCTCCAGCCTGGCCTTCTCCTTGATTATGAAATAGGGACCATGGCTAATTCATTTCAATGTATGACAAAAACCACTGCAATGCTGTAAAGTAATTAGCCTCCAACTAATAAAAATAAATGAAAAAAAAAATGAAATAGGGAACCCCATCTTACAGCACAGGGCAGGCAGGAAGATCACAATCTGGAAGACAGCATTAACTCTAGAGTGTATTTTGAGCAAAAACAGTTAACTTAAAAGCTAATGTAGAGAACCTACTGTTTAGCAAAGAGAACTCTACTCAAGGATCTGTGGTGACCTAAATGGAAAGAAAATCTAAAAAAGAGTAGATATATGTATATGTATAATGGATTCACTTTACTATACAGCAGAAACTAACACAATGGTGTAAAGCAACTATATTCCAATAATTTTTTTTAAAGAAAAGCTAATGTGGTAGCAGTTGCTCAGGGTTAAAAAGTTCATGTATTTCCACTTGAAGGTTTAATTGAGAAATTCACATGATTGCAATACGGTTTCTTCCTAATGTTTCATGATTTCATTTTCCTTTAAAAATTGGACCCATCAGGAATTTATTTTTATGCAAATTATGTAGGTTAGATCCAACTTTACTTGATATCTTGATAGCTATGCATCTGCCCTACCTCATTTACTAACTAATCCATCTTTCAGCTGATAGATTTTAAATGCCACTGTTACCATATATTAACTTTACTTCTGTATTTTTTGACTTTTACAATACACCATTTTGTTTCTTTAAACACTCCAATATAACCCACCCCATCAGTTCTTGAATCCCTCATTACCATCACGACTGTCTAGGAGAGCAGCCACTGCAGCCTGCCCTTAAGTAAACTTGTTCATTTCAGGCAACCATGCTGCTGCCGCTGCTGCTAAGTCGCTTCAGTCGTGTCCAACTCTGTGCGACCCCACAGACGGCAGCCCATCAGGCTCCCCCGTCCCTGGGATTCTCCAGGCAAAAATACTGGAGTGGGCTGCCAGTTCCTTCTCCACCAGGCAACCATAGGGGATTATTTATGGAACTTTTTCCACTGCATGCCCTAGATTTGCTATAACCCATTTCCCCTGGTAGCTCAGCTGGTAAAGAATTCGCCTGCAACACAGGAGATCCTGGTTCAATTCCTGGGTTGGGAAGATTCCCTGGAGAAGGGAACAACTACCCACTCCAGTATTCTGGCCTGGAGAATTCCATGGACAGGGGAGCCTGGTGGGCTACAGTCCATGGGGTTGCAAAGAAAAGGACACAACTGAGTGACTAAGCACAGAACAGCATATTTTCCCCCAGTGGCAAGTTCACCATTATCTTCAAACCTAGCCAGGTCAGACACAATCCCAGATTCCCATCTTGAGGGTCTCATTTCTGCAGCCGCTTCCAATATCAAATATGTCAGACAAATTTCAATACAGAAAACAGAAATTACCTTGTGTATTTTACACAGGAAGAGATTGAATAAAGAGAATTAAGTCCTTATCAAATCATTGGGAGGCCTGGAGAAGCACTTCTAGGCTGGATATCTTGGAGTGAAAAACACTGCCAAACTGGTCCACCAAGGGAGCTGCAACTTCTGAGGCTACTGGAGACATGCTAGGGCTGAAGCCACAGCCTCTGCCTGACTGTAGAGAAGGAGCATCTTATTCTGTGATCCCAGATCTCAGAGTTGGATCAAAAAGCTGCCACAACCACTGCTGATTCTTGACACCTGGAAGCTTGAGAATAAAGAAGGGGCTAGCTGCAATGAAACCACATCCTTCTCCTCCTGTGCCAGGGTCAGAAGCCACAGGAGGATGGTTTTCTAACTTCCACCTTCCTGATCTCAAGAGACTACATCTAAGTAGGGAACCAGATGCTATTTTTAGGCTTCCAACCCCTTACCTAGCACTTCTTCATATAAATCTTCCCCATTTCTTATGAAGTTTATTCCCAGGTAATTTACCTTTCTCATCACTAGTATAAACAAGATCTTTTCTTCCATTATAGCTTCTATTTGGTTGTTGTTACCTGTTACATGAACATTATGCATACAAATTTTATGCTCTGAATAAAATCTTTTACAGTTTATAAGTGGTTTATTCCATGACAATCTCCAATTTTAGTCACACCATCTGAAAATTATACTTTGCTTCCTCCTTGTCTGATTTCTGACATTAATATGCTCACTCTTCCCTACAGCATGGGATTCCCAGATGGCAAAGTGGTAAAGAATCCGACTGCTAACTCAGGAGACACAGGTTTGATCCCTGGGTCAGAAGGATCCCCTGGAGGAGGAAATGTCAACCTACTCCAATATTCTTACCTGGAGAATCCCACGGATCGAGGAGCCTGGCGGACTACAGTCCATGGGGTCACAAAGCATTGGACGCAACTAAGCAACTGAGCATATCCCTAGAGTACAGCTAACCCCTTCACTCCTGTTAAGACTTTAAGATGTCTTTCTCTCAACAAGTCCTACTCTGATCTCCCTATTGAAAAGTGTAACCTACACTCTAATCCTTTGAAACTCTATCTTGCTGTGTTCATTCCTGCTCTCCGTGGTCCTTAGCTTTCTTTAGTGTCTGTTCTTTCACGAACTGCTTCCAGTTTTCCTTCAATTCTTTGATGACTTTTTCTCTCCCCCTTCACTTCTTTCTGAAGTGCTACCAGCTCCTGTTTTACCTTCTGTCTCACCTTCTCTCACGTGAGCTGCCTGCAGGCTTTAGATGTTGGTAGGGTTCAGGTTCCTGGCTGGAAGGAGTTTTTCTCATGGCTTGGCATTAAGTGAGTGAATGTAGCCTTTATTTCTTCTCAGGGAAACAACAGGCAGCTGGAGGGCTGCTCATAGCGCAGTCCTCCTCTCTCCGAGCTCGCTGGCAGGTTTTCTCCTGAAAATACACGTTATTTCTGCCTGCGTCTTCCCTGAGCTTTGCCCTCTTTGCTTCTGCCTTCATTCTCTGCATGCTGCTCTTCGAGCTGAGCTTTGGCTTTGCTCACCATCTACTCTGAGCCCTTCGCCTTGGAGGACCCACCAGCCCCACCTGAGATCTGCTCTCATGACATGGGTGTGCTGACTCCACTTCTGCCATGTCCGTACTGATCCACACCACCCTGGGGATCGCTGCCGTCAGCTTTCTATGGTTTGGAGCCTCAGATGTCTCCTTGTTTCATCAAAGATAA